GTTCCCCAGTACCATTTCTTTATAATCGCAACATGCTTACTACAAACGAAGTATTGTTTATGACTTAGTGACACAAGAGAATTGAGTAGATATTGCGCACTAAACGTGTAAAAAAAAGTCCTGCAGGATGATTTCACTTAAAAAATTTTTTATTTAATTAATACTTGCAGCTCTTTTATGATGAATTCGTATTTTCAATATCTGTGATGAAATTAAATTACTTATGCTGTGCTGTGATTAGACGGATAAATGGAAAGAACGTAAGCTTAATCAAGCCTATTCAATTTAATTTTAAAAACAATTTTTTCAAAGACTTTTTCATACAGCAGAGCAGCAAGCTTTAGCTTCATCGAAATTAGTTGCATTTTATTATATGTTCCTCTTGAGTAAAAGCATAAGTTGTAGTAGGGTCTACTGCACTTAATTAATTACTTCTTATTTCACCAGCACTCTTTTAAGTTCGTTAAAAAATAAACTACAACTATTTAATATATTTGTGGTACACAAAATAATATCACCTCTTCAATTTGGTTTCAAGCGCCAACCTTTAAAATTTCATTACATTCAAATATTTTTTATAATTTTTCAACAAATTTTTTAATCTCTATGCAAGTATATAATCTACTCATTTGATTAATTTTTTGACTTTCTTTTCTCAAAATTTAATTTTTAAATTTTACCGCCTTAATGCTTAATGCTACATAATTCGTTTCAACCAATAACATCATGAATTTTAAGATAGTAAATTACATTCAAAATTGGCGCTCTTTTGTGACAATGACTAGTCAAATGCAAGCCAGTAGTCAGTGGTCAATGCTATTGAGGCTTTACTTTAAGGCCATCAAACTTTTAAGATAGAACTAAAAACCATTGAAAAAAAATTTTTTACACTGGAATCTGTGTGTAGGTATTAAAATTATATCAATATTTTCCTTTCAAGAAACATTAAAGTAACCAAAATTTAACACAGTCTGAAGCCCTCAGAGACGTTTCTCCTGTGTTTAGTTCCATACATATCACATCGTTAAATATTTGTGAAAAAATTCCTTGTATTTTGAGTCCTTAAAAAATCAGCGACGAAATAGTAAATGGCTATTGTTTTGAGCAACAAACGAGTACAAATTTTCTTGCTTGCAGATTTTCTCTATCCCGTTTGAGAGTCGAGCAACACAATATGTACTGCTGACTTGATACTCGCGAAAGGGGTCCTTTTAATTTTTAGTCCTTAAAAAATCAGCGATAAAATAGTGAATGGCATATTGTTCCAGCAACAAACGGCAACAAATTTCTCGCTTGCAGATTTGTTCTAGCCCTTTCTAAAGTCGAGATACGTGATACCTGCTGCTGACTTGATATCATGCTAGCGAAACTTGTTATATCTTAGTTCTGTAAATCGCGAAAAATTTCGTTTTTGCGTAACAAATTAACAACAAATAAGCAGCAAATTGTCCATAGATTTTGTTATAGGGGTTGTTACTTGGTGCTGTTACCTTGATATACGTGCCTAGACTTCATAATTTTTAATTTCCAAAATATCATCAATATCACAGTTTCAAAGAGGATGGTAATATAGATGTGTACAAATGTTACTGAGAACAGCAACGTCACGTTTGATTTTCTCAAAATTATATCTATAACTTACGGGATGTTTTTTTGGCTGTAACCCATTTTTCTCGATGGTTGCTTTTGGCCACTTTATTAAGAAGTTAGTACTACTACAGCGTTTCCCGGGAATTCAAAATTATGAACGCGATAAATTTAAGTTTAAGTAACTAACAAAAGAAAATTCTGACGGACATAATACTTACGAAATTAATGGCTCTCTTGCAAGCTTTGTTTGCTCGCTCACGCTATTAAAAATAACAAATTTGATAGAGTGGCGGTAAAAAAATTTCTGGACGCATTTATCCAATAAAATTGACCACACTAATTTGCCATGCTGTATACAATATACCATGTCTAAAATACTGCAATATTTCATCTAACTTCTAAGCAAAAGATCCTACATTTGGTGATAATGATTTTTGGGGTCGCGCTGTAAAGTCAGTATGCTTACCCGTTAATTTCTATGCACTTTAGCAATACCCTCGGCTTTTAAATAGACTTCTATTTCCAGTAACTGTATTGTATCATTATAAAGAATTTACTTTTCAAAGTTTCTGACACAACTTTTAAGCTAAAAGTATTCGATCTTACATGGCATGTAAGGATTGTTGTAAGCCTAAACTAATTGGGGCCATTTGAACACTTAATCATGATATGTATGAACTTTTCTAACCGACTCTGCCATAATAGTGGGATCAAATTAGCTGAATTGTCGGTAATTTTTCATGAAATTCAGACTAGCGCGAAAAAAGTATGTTGTAGAGAATCTAACAATGCCAATCGATTGTAATAAAATCGAACGAAAAATATTTTCTGCTAAGGCTTCAAAAAAAAAAAAAGAAAACGGCAAAAATGATAAAACACGGTTTTTAGCATCGGAAATGAACAAGAAGCCAAAAAATTTAAAGAAAAAAAAAATCTAGTGGTTTCCCCGCAAAATGCAAAAAACCTCGTTTTTCGAGCCAATATTAAAAAATGAATAACTCTCTTTCGCATAAACATTAGGAGCTGAAATTTGGCAGATTTGTAGCATTAGTAGTCTACAACAACCCATTTCAGCAAGATTGGATCCATAGTTTTTGCAAACCGCAGCTTAATGAAAAGAAAGATATTTTGGCAATACAGCCTCAAAAAAGTTGGTTACAACGTGAGATGCAATTTTTAGCGGGATTATATTCTTTAATACTTACTCTACAGCATACAAAAGTATCAAATTTTTTACAGTGTGGAAGTTGATTCTTGGTTCCCAAAATATCGTTCTTTATAAGAGCACTTGCAGTTTAACCGTACTCAGTCGCTAACACCGGAGGCGAGCTTCAAACAGTGGACGTGGTTTATGCATCGGCGAATACGGCGGCTCATTGCCCCTCACGAGCAGTACCGCCGTGTGCAAAAAAAACCAATTAGGTTTATCATTTTTTGAGCATTTTCCACACTGCAAAAAAATTCAATACTTTGGTCATTTGTAGAGTTAGTATCGTAGAATATGATCCCGCAAAAAAATTGCATTTAAGGAGGTTCGGTAGTGTTAGAGGGGAGAAATCTCAGAGAGGCAAGGGGAGGGAGAGCGTCAACGTTGTGAATTTTTTTGGCTGCTGGCACGTCGTCTACTGTTGTTGTCGTCTACTGCTGTTGTCGTCGTCTACTGATGACAGTGTACTTATTTCTTCGGTTGAATTTTTTATAATTAAATTTTCAATTACAAAAGGAGTTTTTACTATTCATTACATTTCAAAGCGCGCTCCAAAAGCAGCGTTGCCAAGTCGTCTTCTGCGAGCACATTTTTGCTGTTTTTTAATAGAAATTTGTGGTAGGACTCTCTCAAACTTTGACAAAACATTATTTTGACAATATTCTTTCATTTAAAAAAAAAAAAAAGCAAGTTCATTTAGCCGTTTTTTTTTATGTGAAATTTAAGTGATTTCTCCATAAGCCTACATGTTAAAATATTGTTTTTTCAGGTCAATATATCTTGAAAACGGTGTGGTTAAACCCTTCAAAAATGTAGCTGTAATTTGATACTATTATCCCAAACGACATATCGAAATTTCAAAAATTTTCATCATAAAAAATTATCACTACCGAACCTCCTTAAAGTTGTAAACAATTTTTTTAAGGCCGTATTGCCAAAATACCTTTTAATGCATTAAGCTGCGGTTTGCAAAAACAATTTATTCGATCTTACTGAAATTTGGTGTGGTTGTTGAAGACTACTAAGGCTACAACTCTGCCAAATTTCAGCTTTTAATGTATATGCAAAAGAGAGTTATTAATTTTTTAATACTGGCTCGAAAAACGCGGTTTTTTGCATTTTGCGGGGAAACCACTATCCTATTGGGATTGACCGGAGCTTACTCTGTTTGTCTGTTTACCATGCATACTTCTATATTTTTTTTTTGGTATTTTTAAGATATTTTAAGGATTGTTGCTCACTTCCGACAGTAAAAACCGTGTTTTACCATTTTGGCCATGTTTTTTTATGCCTTAGCGGAAAATATTTGTCGTTCGATTTTATACCAATCGATTGGTATTGTTTAATTCTCTACAACATATTGTTTTTGAGCTAGACTGACTTTTCATTGCCAAAAACTGAATATGATCCGACTATAAAAACTACTTACAACTATTTTACAAGGTAAAACAAAACGTGATTTTTTTAGTACAGGAAAATAAGAATATTGTTCGATAAGTGGCACTCTATGGTTTCATGGCAAAAAATTAAAATATTTTTTAAAACTTTTTGGATCAATGTTCATTTATCTCCACAAACGATTACCTTTGTTGAATCCATTTCTTCAAGCAGTTGTAAGATTCTATCAAGTAAACCATCTTCTTGCAATTTGTTGGTATAATTAGTTATCTGTTTTGTCAATATTATTGGAACGTCTAAAATCCAACTATGGCCTGCTCTAGCTTGAATTAAAGATTTTAATGTTGAGGTAATAGCTTTTCTTCCATCATAGTACAGCAGTATTGCTGTTAATCCTCTAGTTAATCCCGGATAGTGTGGCATTTGTAGTTGAGCAGTGTATAACAAGTCCAGTGCCATAAATTCATTCAAGTTATACATGTCACTTAAAATTAAAGTTTCATCAATTAATTCTTTAGTAAGTAATTGATGCCCCAATCCAGGCGAGGTTATACCATCTGTATCACCTTTTAGGATTTCTTCTCGACTTAGAGTATTTTTTGGCTGCAAGAAAATACGCTTATTTTTATTTTTATATGGTATGAAGTAATTAAACTTAGAAAATAAAAACTGACTGGATTTTTCAGTAAAGTAAGAAAATTTTGCCTATGAATTCGTAAAGTCTCCATAAATTCATGATATTGAGGATCAGAAGTCCTGGGAGTAGATGTGATATAGCACTCAACCAGATTTTGTAATTCCTTGTAAGGTGTCCACATATCTTCTGTACAACCTTTATCTAAAAATGTCATTTATCAATGAATACTGGGTATATTAGCACCAAATCTACGTATAAATGTGAATATTATACAGTACAGATAACACCTGGTTTGGTGTAAAAGTAGTATCATTATTTAAGTAGATATTATGAAAACTATACCCACGTAGATGAGGATATAGCTCCAGTTATATCTAAGTATTAACATGGATTCGATTTGCAATGAGTGTTTTGAGAATTTGTTATAAAAAAAACAGCATAGTATCCAAAAAGATAGCTGACACGTTTGGTCCATCACTTAAACGTGACAATGAAACCAAATTTATGTTAATAACTGAATAACCTATAGCCGTCAACAATAATTATTAACTCAAGTAATGTCTCCATTAAGAAGTTATTTTAAATCAGTGTTCACGAGGAAAAAAAATTGACAAAAGATTATTCATGTTGAATCTTACTAAGTAGTTCATAGTTACTAAGCTGTTTTTTCTACTACTAATTAAAACAAATTGGCGTTTCTATTTGTTTCTTATACTAATATTGGCTTACCACTAATCATTTTAGAGGGCAAGTACAGAATAGAGAATGAAGTGATAAAATGACTAAGACTAGAACGATTCCATATAACATATAACTCCGTCAAGGGGGTAAATAGTTAGTATATGAATTGTAAAATACTACTACACTATTCAACCGAATACGATAAGATCAATCTATAAAACAAGCAAATTCCAATCGGGAAACTTAATGTTCTCTTAAGATACCGATTATTACCATTGGTTTCTGTACTTTGTGCGCGGGGCAACTGCGTTAAGATATATGTACAAGCAAAGGAATGCGCAACTGGTTTAAGGGTGCAGTCCCACGCAGTACGAAATTGGATGTGTTAACCAACTCCTAGCGCCCCTAGCGTATTTAATATGAACTCGAGTTGGGTCAAGCCTCAAGCCTCTATATCTCAGTATCTCACTCATATTCCCAATTTCCACCTTTGTTAATGTGCCAATACCCTAGTTCGATGCTGTGTGTCCTTCCACTAATACTTCATCGCCGTATATAAAAACGAGCAGTCTATATTTCTTCTATGTCTATGAGCTCTGCCAGCCAGCGTTGTTTAGTTGTTTTACCAAGTGTATCCAGCGTTGGGTTAGGCGGATTCAATATCGGAACTTTTTCCCTAGATCATATATGTAGCTATACGATCTAGGGAGAATGTTCCGTCGAGCAGACAGCACAGCAGCAAAAAGGCATTGCCAAAGACGCGCGAAAATTGAAAATTATAATATTATAACACAAATGCCTATCACCCGATATCCCGGGGCACTTACTGGTCGCTTTTATTAAATAATAAAGTATTAATTAATAGCACAAGCGCCTATCACCCGATGACCCGGGGTGCTAACTGAACATAAATAATTTTCCGCACTCGGGTGGTTTTAGGAGGCTGGTACTTTCTCGGGCGAAAAAGCAGTTTTCCGGTACTCGTTCGAAAAGTCTCCTTTACGAACCTCGTTACGTCCCTCGCCTTTGTCTCGGGCCGCAAACCTCTCGGTTCGCAAACAGAGACTTTTCAAACTCGTAGGAAAACTACTATTTTTCCGCCCTCGGGTGGTTTTGGGAGGGTGGTAATTCCTCGGGCAGAAAAGCAGTTTTCCGATACTCGTTCGAAAAGTCTCCTTTACGAACCTCGTTACGTCCCTCGCCTTCGGCTCGGGCCGCAAATCTCTCGGTTCGCAAACAAAGACTTTTCAAACTCGTAGGAAAACTACTATTTCGCAATAGTGTGCGGAAAATAGGTGTTTTCCGCACTGATATTAGTGTGAAAAATCGATTCTCCCTTATAGTGTGTGGGAAAGGCGCATGGCAAAGGTTTTTCCGCACAGTATGCGGAAAAGGTGTGTGACACAAACCTTTTCCACACACCTTTTCCGCACACTATCAGTGCGGAAGACACCTATTTTCCGCATACTTATTGCGAAAAAACTTTTTCGCAACTTGTGCGGGACGATTTCCCGCACTTGTTACGTAAATAACTATTTTTTTTTTCTACACAATTATTTACATAATTATTATGTATACACTGATCAGTGCATGACTCATAAAATCAGTACGTTCACTGCGGGATAAGAAAACTTAATAAGGTTATGTAAGGGATAAGTGTGTCATTATGTACGCAAAACAAACTGACTTCCTTATGTATGCAACAAGAAATATAAATTTTGTAATAAATTTAATGCATGAAAAAAAGTTTTTAATCACCTTACTTTGATGTTACTTGTACATAGGAATAGAAGAGAGCTGGCAGAGAACTTTTGAAGCACTGTCCCTTGTAGAAATAACTTGTAACCATGTGTTTTCGTTGATCTGAAGACAGTGAAGGCTGGGCACAACCAGAGATGAGTAGAGAGATTGCTAACGCGTAACGCCAATGCTACGATGCGAGACGACTTTTTGGCACTGATCGAAGCGCGCTGCTGCGGTCAGCCGTCAAACCGGGCGCACATCTTAGTACTCGTATCGAACAGCGTGTGCCTACGAGAAAAGGAGTCGATTCGCGTGGAAATGATCTTAAAGGCGCACATTTTGAAGAGACGTGGAAGGGGTATACCGAATGTGTCTTCGAGGAGAGGAGTGTAAATGTTGACTATAGCTACACGGCGAGAGAATTCACACGTTGAACGCATGGAGGTTAGCTGGCTTTCAGCGCATGCAGCTTTCCTTGCGTTGAAAGCACGAAGTTGTAGCACTGAAAGCCTCGAGTATACCTGAGCGGTGCTTAGCTGGTATATATATACATAACCGTCAGCTGAGCACCACTTAAACGCAACAGATTCCGAGCATCGAACCCGTCACGCTCCTTGCGTTTACCGCTCAGGTATACTCGAGGCTTTCAGTGCTACAACTTCGTGCTTTCAACGCAAGGAAAGCCGCATGCGCTGAAAGCCAGCTAACCTCCATGCGTTCAACGTCTGAATTCCCTCTCCGTGTATATATCTGAACTCACAGCCAAAGCAAGCGACGACACGAGTTTTTCTCTTTCGACTGCAACCGAGTACATCGTATATATATTGAACTGATTTTTGCTCTCGCTTTTTTTTCGTTTTCCTCGACTTTTAATACTTATTTTGAAAAAAAAAATTTCAGCAATTTTTTTAAGGATAGCAGTTCAGTTATAATCCCTAATTTATTTTTTTTTTTCATAATTGTTATAAACTATAGAACAAGCTCCGCAGGTTATAAATCAACATATCTGGCTTTCAGATTCCTCAAGATCGAAGTTTCGGTAGCTTAGTTGGATGATGCTTATGCCACCGCTCAAATTGTTTTGCTATCACGAGATCGATTCCAACTTTTTGCAGATTTTTTTTCTTTAATGCAGTTCATCGTTCTGGTTAGATTTCTTTTATTTATGTTGTATTTAAATTTATAAATAATGTTGCCAACTTTTTTTTTTTTTTGATATGTTGAAATAAATAAATTTTTTATACTAAATCTATTGAATAATTAAATAAGTTGATACTGCAATTTCATAACAATAAAATAAATTTCTTAAGATGTAAGTATAATTCGTACATCTTAAAACTTACAAGAAATTATAAACATCCATACGTATATATTTTTTTTACTTTGGGCCCATGTATCGTAGGTCGATAACTGTAGACCTCAGCAATCGATAATGTAGGTTGCTGATACATGGTGACGTTGAATAAATCAAATGAGAATGTAGATACATACATTCATACATTGAATGTACAAAATATTTTTTAAGCAAACATACTACCCGTACATTTACATTATTGAAAAAAAAAATTGTTTACATAGCAAAGATACATAACAGTTAAATTCACTGTGTACAAGCCGACCTAATTTTGATCTTTTTTTATTCGTAAGAAGTTCTAAATGAATACTTACCCAAGTTACTCAGTTCGTTATTATATAGTGATTCGGATTAAAATACGCCAAATTCTCTACGTAAAAAGTCTTATCCCCGAACCTAAACTTAACACCTAAATAAGCTTACAATAGAAATAACTAACTGACTAATAGTTCGTCCAGAATAATTTATGAATTCGTATTGGATATATTATCGGATAGCGAATACTTTTGGTTACCTAATAGGAACTCGTTCTATGAGACATATAGCCTGAATACTTGACGAATTATGAGGAACTAATTAAAGACTAGTTTTCACATTATATAAAGGTGTTTTTTCAATACTTTTGTGACAAACTAATTCATTTAGCATAAGGATTAAATGCTTTTTTCGAACTCATACAAATGACGAGCTCTTTAAAAGTACCTTCTGTTCATCTGTGCCCTCTGGGTCACGCTACTCACGCTCAATGTTTCTAACAACCAAAAGTTCTCGCGCATGCGCACAACGGTTTTACTCTCTCTCCGAGCAGGCTGGCAGTAGAGGGAGAGCTCCCCCTACCTTTACCTTTAACCCAAGCTCCCCTCGCTCTAACACCTTAAATATAATCTTATATCTTAGAGGTGTATACTCGTCGTTGGTCGGGCGGGCTACGTCTTTTGCCCGCGTATAGAATCTGACCAATATGCCATCGACTCTTCATCAATGCATTTTTTTTTTTTCTTTTAACTTTTATCATTCATTCAAGCGTCCTTTTTTACAATAGTCATTTTATTTATTAAATACTTTTTCGAAAAGCATCACATTTTTTGTTAAAAAATAATCTTTAGGTCCCTTTGAATTCGATTTATAATTTAAATAATGTAATGTTAAACACGAAATATTTTTTGGTATGTTTATAATCATATTTTTGACTTGTTTATAAACTTTCTCTTCAAGTAAAAAAACTTTTTTATCATGTATTTACATGCTTGTGCAGCAAATAATATTTTTTCCATACCACCTTGCCGTAAGTATCTTGGTGTGTTGTTTTTTAAAGAAAAAATTNTAGATTTTTACTATTTAAAAAAAACTCATAATCAAAAAATTGAAGAACATTGGATACTTATGAATGAACATAAATTACTTCTATATTTTTAACAAGATTTTCAGATGTACAACTGAGGTTTCTTTCGTTAAAGATTGTTAAGATATCGCTCTATCTGACATCATTCATTATTATTTCAATGTATGCGGCCTGTTTTACCAGGTTCATGACAGTGTTGATACCCACGATCTCTTTCAATGATACGACTGGTCTCCTCAAAGACAGAACTTATGAATTGATTGCTAAACAAGGATTCAAGCTTTCAAAATATTTATTGGTAATTTTTGAACCTTCACTGAATATTAACAACTAGCAGCCTCTCGTGTCGGCTTTGCCCAAGATTTACGCAATAAAACACCGTAGTGTGTTGACATGTAATGTAAAACATTTTCAGTTAGAAATTTTACACATATTTCTGATACATCTCAGAACAAAAATCTTCTTTTTAAAAACATATTTTTTCGGAATCCATGTAATTTATTTAGTCAAATAATAAGGTGTAAGAATTCAAAAAAATAATTATGCTAATAAGTCCCGTGCCTTCTTTATGCCATAATATATTCGGTGGCCATGAGAAGCCGTTGATTTACAGTTTCTCCTGTGAAATTCACGAAAAGGGCTATTTTTTAAAGCTAATGAGATTTTAAACCCCCAAAAAATTTATATTAAAAAAGAAATTTTTTTCTTATATCTCACAACTTTATTACCAGAGCAACAAAGTCCTGGACCTCAAACCCTACGTTTTTGTTGCCACAAAAACACAAATACATTCTTTACTCTTTAAAAAATCTGAAGTAG